TTATGTGAAAGATTCTCTTTTCTTTAACAATTTCATTAATGATTACAAACTTCCAGAAGACTATGTACTAGTGAGTTTTGATGTAGTTTCTCTTTTTACTAACTTACCATTAAATGTGATGAATAATAGCTTACAAAACCACTCGGTTGTCATCTCTCAACATTATATGCTTGATTTTCCAAATTTCGAATCTATTTTGGAGTACATTTTTGACTCCAACGTCCTAGTTCTTCAGGACACATTGTATGAACAAATCTTTGGTACCCCGATGAGTTCCACCATTTCCCCCATTTTAGTAAATTTTGTTTCAGACGACATAATTATGAATGTAAAAGATAAAATCCCTTTTAATATTCCTTTCATTAAACGTTACGTGGATGATATGATCCTATCTGTTCCTCATGGGAGAACTGAGGAAGCGTTAACAACTTTCAACAGTTTCAACGAACATTTAAAATTTACAGCTGAGGAAGAAGGTAACAACAGTTTACCATTCCTAGATATGCGTGTATGTAGAGATCCAGGTAATGTCCTACGTACAAAATGGTATAGGAAACCATGTGCCAGTAACAGGTTACTAAACTACCATTCTTACCATCCAACGAAGATAAAAATAAACTTAGTCCTAACCATGAAGAACAGGGTGATCAATTTGACACATTCAGTTCTAGAAGACGAATGTATTAACGAATTAAAAGGTATTCTTTTTGAAAATTCTTATCCTTGCAATCTTTTACTATGCGTTCCAAAATCGTGCGCATTCAAAGAAAACTAAATAGAGTACATTTTCAGATTATTCGATAAAAATAGGTGATTATGAGCGAGAAACGGCCCGTCTTCAGTCCTTATGGGATGAAATAGGAAGTGATGATGAAATTGACGAATCTGATGATGATGAAACAAGCGATAATGTTAGCATCGTTAGTAACTATCCAGATTTCGAAGATCAGAGACGAAACTGTGGATTTCATCTAAACGCTTACCGTCACACAGAAGTAATTGTAACACAAACAAAGCCACCTGTGCACTTGTAGAGCATGTCATCAGCACTAAACACACAATGAACTACACCGAAGTTAAAGTTTTGTGTACTGAAAGCATCTTACAAAAACGGTTGTTCAGAGAAATATTCTTTATCAAAAGGAATACCATCAACATGAACAGAAAGACTGATCTCAACAACCTCAGCAATATTTGCAATTACATTTTGGAATTGGAGCTAATTCCTCCAGGTTCCCCAAGTAACAGATAGTTTTGGGTTTGGGCGCAGTGCTGAGTCTGTCAAAAAACCATTCACTTCAGTTGGGAGTGATTGGCAGCACGGTACCCAGAGTCATACAGATACTTTTGATTTTGTTTGGGTCATCTATGGGGTTGGTGTGCCTTTTGATAATCTTGTCGTTTTCTCTGTCAGATGAATGACAACCATTTTATACTCTAACCTATCACCTACTCGTCTGCCTAATGAATGAATCTACCTGAAAAGATCAAGTATGAATTCATTAACAATATCAATAAATTTTTAAAAGAAGTTTACCCGATTCGAAGAGAAAAGGATAAAAGTTATAGAACCTTGACTTACTTAGGCCAACCCATTACAAATATTTCAGATTTTCTGCACAGCAAAGGTGTAAATACTGCTTTCAAAACCAACAATAACTCAGGCATGCACATTAAAAATCTGTTTAAAAAATCAGGATTGCATAAATTATCGTGTGGGTCATGTCGTCCGACGTTTCATATGGGTCAAACTGGAAGAGCGTTCAAAGCCCGCATAAAGGAACACAAATATAGTTTCCATAATGGAAAAATGAATTCCAATTATGCCATTCATTTAATCTCAGAGGGATATGAGTTCAACCATGAATACAAACCCACTCATTTCCAGAAGAAAGGTTTGAAATTTAACCTGTAGAGTAGGAAATGAACAAATTCAAAAACTATCAATATCTTATGAACGATCAAACTGAATTGAATAATTCGCCATTATTGAATCTGTTCATTCGCAGGTAAAAATAGTTAGGTATATTAGCAGGCATACTTTCGAAAATTTTATTGATATAGTTAATGAATTCATACCTGGCCTTTTCAGGTAGATTCATTCATTAGACAGACTAGTAGGTAATAGGTTAGCGGTTAGAGTTTAAAATGGTTGTAATTTAGAAGTAACTTTCAGTTTATGCTTGAGGAAGCTATTGTATAACGAAACCCTTTATAGTGGAAATCATAGAATGTACTGTATTAATTAGTTTTTTAATATGGATTTTCATTAAGCTAGTTCTATTCAATTATTCGAAGTTTTTAATGATGAAAGAAGCAAATTCAAACGAATCTTCAATATAATATTCATTATCCAAGTTATATGCTTGAGTAAGAATTTCTGTTATTACAGATATTTCACTATTTGGAGCACAATGGATGAAATGATTGGTCTGAATTTGAGTGTAGGTTTATGAATTTTGGGTAATCCGTAATATTTTGGTGTTATTAAGTTATAAATCATGAATTTCTTTGATGTTTCATCAGATATCATTTAAGACTTCTTCAATTCAGATACGATTGCTTTTTGTTGAGGTGGGATATCTTTCGAGAGAAATAAAAGATTCTTTGTCATGAAATATATCCTAGGATTTTTCAATATAATCCTTTTCGTTCATTATAACGGCCACATCACCTTTATCTGATCTAGTCAATATCAAATTCGGGTGATTTTAAAAAAATCTTTTGATATTTTATATAGTTGAGTAAGATGATTTTCATCATTATGTGGTTCTTGAAAATAATTAGTAAACATGGTGGTGATTTTGGCTCTGTAAATATTTTTCTTATTTTCATTGAAATCATTCATCATACATTTGATTTCCGACAATGAATTTGGAATCGAAATGTCTTTTGTTGTTGAAGGTAAACTGAAATTGTATCCAAGTACAAGAAAATTGTTCAATATCTTTAGGGATGTTGACTGCGGTCAAATTTTTTAATCACTTTTCGTTAGTGTTGATTTCTTGGTTTCTGCATATTTTCAATCTATTCAATTTATTTATATTCTTACGTTTTATATAATTGAAAATTTTGTTAGTTTGTATTTTTTCATATTCATACCAAATTTCATGAGGTAGTGAACGTCTTAGAAAATTTGCATGCTTAGTCAAAATATTCTCAGTTTTTAAGTTCATTGTGAATTATTTTAATTTCTAAATTTAAAATTTTTCTGCTTAAATTTTCATTGAATGAATTAATATAATGTGCACTCTTGCCATTACTTACGTCAATCAGTATGTCTAAATTTTTTGTGTTATTCTCGATATGTGAAGGGATGACATTTCTTTGCATCATCTACACATTCATGTATAGAGTTTGAAATTGATTACTTCCTTCCTTTCTTTGGAAGATTCTCTCATCCCTTTTTTTGTATCAGATGGAGTAGTAGAAAGCCAAAAACTTTCTTTCCCAAAAAATTAATCACTCCCAAAAATATAACCCCTTCAATACATTATAATAGTGATCTACTAGATTGAAATGTTCATCTATTTCGAACCTTTGAGGGAGTTTCTTGCTTCCGTTAGAGGTTGAGTCTTGTTTGAAATTCATCAGTGTTATTATTAGATTGACTCAGCTATACTTGTTTCCTTATAACAGTCAGTTAGTTTGGCGCATGTTTGACAATACAGTTGATCATCACCTGTTAAAAATTCAATTTTCAGATGATTCAACAATGAATTTTGCACGAACTGGTTATTAGTCATATTAGGAAACGCTAGATGAAGTTCCAGAAATTCGCATAAGTTTTCACTACCTCTTGAACATTTACTGCAAAGTAAACAAGTGAGAATTTTTCCAGCAAAAGATTCACAAACACAAGACGAGATGGACTGAATGGAATCATTCAATCCAGAGCGGTCAGGAGTATTGATTTTGCTATTTTTTTCTCACGAAGAGTATTCAATAAGAACCCCAAGAGTTCGGAACAATCCTCTTGTTGTCCTAACGAGTATCTAGTGGACTTCAAAGACTCCAGGAAATCGGCTGGAGGGAAAGATGATACATTCTTACGAAACTGCAGCTGCATGAACAGGTGTTTGAGTTTGGTGAATAAGTAGGGAACATTCCCATTCTCGTTCATCATTAAATCCTCGTTCTTGAAATTCTTCGTCATGAACAACACTTGTAAAATGCTATTCATGTAGCAAGTGTTTCCTAAATTATCCAATCCAATTTTTTTCTCTAGATTTTCAGGACAACTCTCTACTGATTCGAAAGGAAGAACATGTTTCACATAATCTCCATAAGAACCATTTCTCAAGCTGCGATCGATCCTTCCAAGTGAAGAAGGGTTTCGTAGAGGGATCGATTCGGCTCCTGCTTCATGAAGCTCTTCCACTGAAAGGGAACCAGAACTACGAGGACTGCAACTCATATTGAAATTAAATATTGATGGAAACATTTTTAAAAAATTTGACGCATTGGCATTAATAATGTCATTTTCAGATATCTGATATTAGTAATGTCATATTCAAAGCTTACTGTAATGACAAGATTGAAATTATCATCCTATTGAAACAGGACACAAAACTAAATTTGATTAAGCAAAATTTTTATATTCAGAAAAAAATATGTCCAAAAGAATTTTTCACGAAATGCTCTTTATTATCAAAAATCCTAATAATATGAACAAAAAACAGACATTGAAAATCAGTGTATGATTTATAATTATTTACTAGACATAGATAAATCTCAGTAATATTATCAATTTAAAATAATCACACATTGCATAAAATTCATTCAATGAGCATTTATGAAATAAAAATATTTTCAATGATTATTGTTGATATTTATTGTAACAGATATTTCCTTACATTCATATATTCTTAATGTTATCTATAATACCAATAGTTTAATCACCACAATTTCGATCATCTTTATACTCCGTAAACGGTATAATAGTCACTTCCGCCCGTATCTGAAAAAACGAAAAGACCGATTGGATTCGTTTTCGACGGAAACGATAGAAATAATCTCCTCCTTCCCTACGTTTGGCGAACGGTTGATATCAGGTACGTTTTGATATTTTGTTCCATATTATCTTTATATATAGTAAATTTGATGAGATCTGTTCAAGTATATCTTTTGCCTTTCCTGTATTTTGCTATTTAGTAATAGAAATTAGTTTAATTACATAATTTGTGATAATTACGCTGCATGTGATTGGAGGTTATAACTTTCAATTTATCTTATGCTGACTTTTATTCAGTCATCGATGAAATTCAGAGTCGTGTAAAGATTGCTAGTTCACTAAATCACCTATTCTTTGATATATTAATGGCTAGAATTGTTCTAGGAAGATATTCTGCATCATACATTTTTTTAGGTTAGACGATTAATTTCTCTTCATTATCGTAATCTCAAGTCATCGTCTAAATACAATAAGATCACAGAGTTTCTTCTGGATCATATGAAATTACCGTGGGAATATTTTTTCCCTGAATTGAATTTTGCAATAAATACCTACAGCTAGTGTAGTATTTGCTTTGCATACTTCGTTCATCTTTGAATTGTAAAAATCAGTATATACGCTTAGTAAAATTTCAGATACCAGATAATTGGTGATTTATTCCTGTGAAATACAATTCTCGAGCTATACGGCCCTGCTCCGAAGCTAACGGAAACGTTCGATAGTGAGTTGTGCATTAATAGTGTTTTTTACAGTCTTGAAGTTGAAAATGTCAAACGATTCAATCGAAAAGTGATAGCTGAAAATGGAAAGGTAAATTACGTACCTACTCAAACCCTTTTGTAACATTCAAAACACAGAAGCTCCTTAAAGAAATTCATATCAATAAACTAGTAACAACCGTCTACCAGTACGTCTGAAAAGTTTTACTTTGTTATAATTGTTATCGTTACGGACATATTGGCAGACAGTGTAAAAGCAAAGACAAAATGCTGCAGAGTACGGAATGTCAAAATTTAACAAAAATCAATTGTTTGTATTGTAATGGAGAACATTTGCCTCATGAAAGAAAATTTGTCCAAAGTTCTGAAGACAAAAATCCATAAAAGCTACAATGATGGAACTGAATATAAACTATAACGATGCAGCAAAAAAAATCCTAAACAGAGTTATGCAAATGCCGTTAGCGGAAAATTTTAAAAAAATAGAGACGGAAGCCAATGTGGGACCATCAAGGTCACTTTTTCAGAATAGGGCAAAATGACCTAGGTATTCATCAACAGAAATTGATACTCAAGATTGATACTAGAGAAATTATTTCACCAATTGAAACACCAAGAGCAGTTGGAGGAATTTTAAAAAAACCGCAGTATAAAAATAATTTAAATGATATAAGTACTATAGAAAATATTAAAGAAAAGGATTTAGTGAAATGTGTGTTAGAATTGGTTAGTTCAATAATAAGAACAATGAAGGAAAAAAACTCTCTCGAGGTTGATGAAGCAGATGTTCTAAGAACGATAAAAGTCGGAATAAATAATACAAATATTCAACATTCGATAAATTGAAAAAAGAATTCAATTTTTGTCAATGAAATTGACAAAATGATATTTCTTTTGCACTACTTTCGGAAACATGGTTCAAACCAAATACATATTATAATTTATCTGGCTATAATGTAGTTCGATTGGACCGAGATGATGTTGAAGCAGGAAGGGCCAGTTTGATGAAAGCAAATATTCATTATGAACAAATACCAGCCAATATTACTACATTACTGTGTGTGTGAGAGTTCAATTGGGCAATATCGGTAACATAACTATAGTGTCAATATATGTTAAACCTAAAACTATGATCTCAAAACAAGAATGGATTCAGTTTTTCAATAACGTACCAACACCATGTCTGATAGGAGGGGATTTTAATTCACAACACACGGCATTCGGTAGTGAAGTTAAGGACACATACGGTCAAAATCTCTTGGAATCCCTAGAGGAAACCAACCTAATATACCTGAACAATGGAGAACCAACCTCATTATCATATCTGAACCAGAGAAGAAGTGCAATAGATATCACATTATGCTCACCGGAAATATCTCAATATTTTACCTGGACTACAAGTACGGACCCTCATGGATCGAATCACCTACCAATCTACATCAAATGATCAATGAAGGAGGAGACATCAAAATTTTGGAAAAGAACACACAAAATATGGAACTTTCGAAAGGCAAATTGGGAAAAATATACAAATAATGTTGAACAAACAGAAGGAGAGGAGATGAATTACTAAGAGCTGATAAACGAAATGAATAAAGCTGCAGAAAAATCTATATCCAAATACCCCGACAAAGATAAATCAAAGAAGAAAACTGGTAAAATCTGGTGGAATGATGAATGTGATGGGGCATGTAAGAAAAGGAAAGAACTGTATATCAAATACAGAGATGAACCGTGTATTGAAAATCTCAGTTACTACAAAAAGCAAGATGCGATGGTGAAAAAAATAACAAATGTAGCGAAACGATACAGCTGGAAACATTTTTGTACATCGCTGAACAGAAATAATAATATAAAAGGAAGATGGAATGAAGTTAATACGTTAAAAAACCAGAAATAGAGTAATAGTAATCCAATAGTCGAAGAAGGGGGATAGAAGATTTTCATAACAAAATTGCACCAGTCTGGGTGAACCCCTTAATAGAATTTGATGAAAGCCGTATAAACATCGAAATACAGAAACGGTTCACTCTCATGGAACTCAATATAACATAACAATACAGCTCCAGGAAAAGATAACAATCATTATTTCATGATTGCGGAACTGTCAATTAAAATGAAACAGAAATTACTATCTATTTTTAATATAATATGGAGTGGGCAAATAGAAATCCCACATGAATGGCACGAGTATATAGTGGTAGCATTTACCAAAGGAAATGCCAGCATTATTTTTAGATATACAAGGGGCATACGATAATATGGATATTTCAAAAGGCAAGATGGAACAAATGGATTTTCCTTACATTATTACAAAAAATATATTGAACCTCTATCTTGACAGGAAAGTATATATTAAAATCAATGAAACCATATTAGGACCACGCTATACTCCACGAGGATTACCACGAGGCAGTATTTTGAGCCCTTCACTATTCATCATCTACACTGCAGATATAAACCATTCTCTGTCCATGTCTACCAAACTCATTCAATTTGCGGACGACTTCTGTTTCTACAGCAAAGGAAAAAATATAGAGCAATCTTTACAAGAACTCGACTTAAACATGAATATAGTTGGAAAATACATTAAAGATCTTGGAATGCAAGTTTCACATGAAAAATCAGCAGCGTGCTCCTTTTCCCGAAGACGTTTTCAACAAGATCCAACAGTTTCAATAGGACCATACATTTTATCACACAAAAGTTTAGTAAGATATTTAGGCATTGTATTAGATAAGAAATTGAGTTGGAAAGAACATATACAAACTATTACAGTAAGAGCTGAAAAAAGTTTGTAAAAATAAATGGGGGTCTGATCCGAATACTGCTTTAACATTTTATAAAACCCTGATAAGGTCCATTTTGGATTACGGGAGTATTTTTTACGGTAATGCATCAAAAACTAATTTGAAAAAAATTGAGAACATAAAAAATAGAAGCCTGAGATTATGCTTTGGATTACTCAACAGCACACCCATCTCAGCCCTTGAGTCGGAAGCAGTAGAACCACCACTACATCTGCGTAGACAACTACTCAGCCACAAATTCATCACTGAATTATGCGCCAAGAAAAGTGATTTATTATTCAAATTACATGATTTGAGCATTTTGGGACTGACCAATAAATATTAGCGTAAGAAAGTTTTGCCACTAATATGCAATAGTTATACCAAGGCTTCTAGTGGGAAATGTTCCACAATTTGGGTTATTACAGCAAATGCAAGTTTGAACAAAATGAAGTTGAGTTTAATTCATGAGTTTTTCAAATTCACTTCAAAAATAATTCAAATTGATGTTTCAAATGTTGGGTTTCAATTTTTAAAGGGATTTGTTTCTAATTCACATATTGGCAACAGCGCATATATCAAGATTTAACAATTTATACGTACCTAGATATTCTAGTTTAAAAAAGGAAAATCATCTTTATAAATCAACAATTAAGGCAAAATATGAATTATAGTTCAATACTACCTCCACAAGCCACATAAAGAACAGTTGTTTTGTTATTTATTTATATAGAGGAAGATAGGTAAGGTGCACAAAATGTCATATGTCACAGAATGTCTCGGAACTCGGATCATAAGTAAACAGAACAGCACACCTCTGAAATATGTCATCTTTGTTTGTCTCATACAGGTACGGTTATTAGCTATAACTGATGTTGCCAAATGGTGAAATAGAAACGAATCCCTTCAAATGTTGAATGCATTATTTCATTCCTCTTTTTTAGGTATTTAAATAATTTTTTAAAGAAAAAGGTTGAAATGATAAGTTTAAAATGCGTTGTTTTAGAGCTCTTTTGAGAAAACTACTTGATTTTCGTCAAGAGGAACATTCCCCATTCTCGAGCTACCTGTTGCTGCAATGAGATTATCATTATTACTAGGACGTTGGAAGTGGACAGGAGAATTGAAGTTGATTGCTTTGCGACATTCAGGCAGGCTATTCAAAAACAATTCCTCAGGTAAGCATTTATTTGATATCTGATCTATTTTTGGTCAAATTAATTTCTCTTTGAGAAATAAATGCGAACTTGAGATAATTTGTTTCTCTGACCTGATTTGTTACCTAGTATTTGACTTATTGAATTCTATCTTCAGGTTCAAATTTGCTTTAGATTTATCTTATTAAGAATACTCAATATCAAAGATTGTTGCCGATTTGTATTTAGTACCTTATTTTTGATATTTCCTTGGATTAGTTGTCAATTTGTTTTTCGATAATTTTCAGTCTAGCGTTTAAATATTTGATTAATATCAAACTATTATTTTCTTTATTTTTCTAGTTTTTAAGATTCATTACCTTTTGATGTAACTGAAATTCTAGTGGAATTTAGTTTACTAAAATTCAGAATATAGTATTCAGAGTCTAAGGATATCTTTCGTTTTCCCCATCATTGTATGACAGTATCTGATTCATTTCATTGCTTCGTATGATATCGAGAAACCGTGTACTGGATGAAGGACTGATAGCATAAATCCATCTTGAGCCAGATCAGATTTTTACAAGTCTCTGCAGCCCTTTCAGGGGCTCTTACCCAAAACTGTATATTGGCCAATCAGGGAAAACATTTTCCCAAAGAATTAAACATCATAGAAGTAGTATTGTAAATAGAAAGACCAATTTCACATTGGCAAACCACCTTTTAGCAGAAGGACATGCGTTCAATCATGAATACGATGTGTTACATTCAGACATTCAGAAGAGAAGAGTTTACAACTCAATCTTCTAGAATGTTTAGAAATCAATAAATTCAAGAATTCGGATAATTTACTGAACGATCAATTGGAATTGAATAACTCCTCGTTACTAAATATTTTTTCAAATGTGGAAACTGAAATGTAGGTACTTCAAATTGTAGAATGAGATATATGTAGCATGTGTAGAATTAGTTAGTTAAGACACGCCCGAAGAAGCCATTGTATGGCGAAACACATGTTGCGTTTTTGTGAAATTATTAAGTGAAAATCTGTCAATAAAGTGTTTTTTGAATACATTGTTGATATTGTAAAATAGCAAGTCTTTATTCAACCTACTTGAAAATGAAAATTTGATTATACATAATTACATTCGGTATATATTTGGGAATCAAAATTTAATAAAGGAATCTCATGTAAAATTAAGAAACTTGTTTGATTCATTCAACAAATACCTAAGAGCGTTAAATGCATTAGGTGGAAAGACTGATTCGTGGGGCAGGTTAATAATTTGTAATAAATTGATGGATGTAGCCATTACTAAGTGGTAGGATATCATAATGAAGAAAAGCAAATTGAAACTTTCTATGTTTTTTTCTATTTTTTTATTTGTAACTAATGGTACAGCAGTTCCATCCTATAAGGGCATTTTCAGTCATACTTTGAACTTTAATGGATAAGTTTGAAAATGTCCTTATAGGACAAAATTGCAGTAACATTAGTTACAAATAAAAGTGGTAAAAAACAGAAAGTTTCAAATTCTCCTTTCTTAAACTTCAATGGATAAGTTTGGAAATGTCCTTATAGGCAAAACTGTAGTGAAGTTAGTTACAAATGAAAGTGTTGAAAAACATAAAAAGTTTCAATTCTCTTTTCTTCATTTATAATTTTTATATTATGTAGTAAATTCGATCATGTTGGATCGAGTTGGAAAGTTTCAACTTTGCGAGAAATTTACCGATGTTGGATGACATGAATAAGTTTCTAGATCAGAAATGTGAATTGATCGAAAAATCAGAAAATTGTGAAATCAACAAAATTCAACATAAGACATCTTCTATTAAAAAATCCTGAAGTTATGGATTGGCGGCTACATATGATAATGCGTCTAGTTATAAATTACAATGTTATTATTGCAAAAAAGAGAATAGTATCTTCCAATGTAATAATTTTTCAAACTACCAATAATAGGGTGAATTTCAGAAATAAAAAAGATTAAAATTATGTTTAATATGTTTGAGGGACACACTTTCCTCTTGAGAATGTAAAAAGCTTAAATGTTTTGAATATCACAAATATCATATGAAAAAAATCAGCGCCACTTTCTAATTCAACCCCAACTGGAGCGAAGCAAAGTGCTGACGACGAAAATGCGGTCAAAAATTATATTACTGTCGCGTCGCGAAACAAAACCATTTTGCAGTTTCGCGATAACTTAGTGGAAATTGAGATGTGGAAAGGGAAAGGTTGATTTTATGAGAAAATTGCTTTTCAGTTGTTTACATGAAAAATCGGGCTTTCTTTGAGAAAGCATCGATAGAGTTTTCAGTAGTGTTCGTTTTGACACCTCGATCGCGTTTTTAGCATTTGTGGTTGAAATTTTATTGCATTTTCAAGGGTAAGAAAATCTCAAAAACTTTAGACTTTTTTTGCTTTTTTGGCTATAACGCTTGAGAATGTCGTCTTTCGTCATGGGCCTTTTCTTCTCAGGGCGTCGACTTTTACATACAATCGAAGAAAAATCGGCGAAAAGTTGAAGTTGAAAATTTCCTGCGGTTAGTGAGAAATGTGCTACAACGGTCGAAATTTACTTGCTCTCATTTCAAAACATCATGCACCAAGGGCGTCTACATGATTTCGAATACCAGAACCGAGAATACCTACCAATGTGGTATTGGCTATGGTATTGCTATTTCGGAAACGGTATGCAACACACTGATATTTTCAGATCTATAAAATCATCAACGGTTTCTGAGATATTTGCAAAATACTGAAAATGACAAATTTTTTTTTGCTCTACCGCCTCCATTTTCAATAATATCAAAAAATGACAAAGTAACTTTGTACTTCATTTCATGTGCTTCATAATCTGGGCCAGCTCATTTTTCAATGCAATATTTCGTTCATTGAATTCCATCATCAATATATTTTTTATAATATGGAACTATATTTTTTTATACATTTTCGTAGTCATTATAATTACAAATTCGTTGACATATCACAACATATATATTTCTCGACGTTTCTCTCCGAAATTACATCATCAATATTCTATTATTTAACTTTTTTCATTCAATGAGAAATCAAATATCAAACTATTGCTGTAACACCCCAACTAGCAATTTCGTATTTTATAATAGTTGCGGAAACGTTTCGGAGAAACAAATTATGAAACTGCATTTCTCCCAGAAATGTTTTCGAAGTGTTTATAAAACTGCTATAAATAGGAAATTGGCACCGTTTTATAAAACATTATAGTCATTATCAATATTTTGTAAGGCCTTTTACAAACACTACAAAACAGTTTTATAAACATTTTGGCAGTTACTATAAAATTTGTCTAACACTCNTTTGCAAGAGTGTTACCTCATATTACTGGAGTTTTCTCCCAACACCAAACCGTTCTAGACCCACTATTAACATTTCCGACCGTATTTTTTTTAATCGATGGATTTTCTGAAATAATTTAAATAAAACCAAACTAGCCCGAATCAACCATTATCCCTTCTTTTACTAAACAAAAAATTATAAAAAAATATTTGTTACAAATAGAGTATTCGAACCCGCCACAAAAAATTAATCATACGTCAATCAGTCAACATTCCAACATCAAAAGCATTTACACTAACGAATACCTATGGTAATGAACACTGTCACGAATTAATTATAGAAAGCGGGTAGCGAACCTAAACAATCGAATTTGAACGCGAACTCATACGCTCAAATCACAAAATTATCGGAAACCTAGGTACTCCCAAATGGATAAAATTCCGTGAATCACTTTGTATGGTTTAGCTGCTAAAACTAGACTTCCACACAACTCATTCCTACATGAAATATCTTTTAGAAACACAACTAAGCACACAGAATACCAAGAATACGGCCCTGTTAATATTTGTTTGCTTTTCTGCTCCGCTGTGGCTCTGCTGTCGGTACACAACTATTGTGATACATAGTTAACAGTTTCGTTAATACATCACATTGAAAAAAAGACAGTTGCGAAAGAAAATGTAACGAAATAATAAATGATAGAAAATGAACACCATAACGGAATGTCTCACAATACATTTTTTAAGTTACCGTCTCACACAATATCGCATCAAATGTTCAAATTGTCTTCCATCATTTTTTAAACAAATACTTGCTCTAGAAATAGTGTGCTTGTGGCAGTTCTGTAATATCTGTGGAGTGATAGCGATGCAGGCACTCCTTATTGAATCTTTCAATTCTTCAATATTTTCAAAATTTCTTCTGAATACTTGATCTTTTATGAAGCCCCACAACTAAAAATCTAGAAGAGGTCCGGTGAACGTGGTGACCATTCAATAGGACCATTATTGCCTATCCACCTTCTTGGCATAGTTGTATTGAGGAACTCTCTGCAGATTCTCCTGCGATGTGATGGAGCTCCGTCGTGTTGGAAATACTCATATTTTCTTATGAGGCTAAGTGGCAAATCTTCTAATAACTCAATTAGAGTCCTTGATAAGAAATCCAAGTATAATTCTCCGGTCTGAGATGTTTAAAAAAAGTGGAGGCCAATAATTTTATTAGCAAGAACACCAAGCCATACGTTAACACCATATCTCTCTTGAAAATTGGTTTCATTTCATTATCTTGGCGAAATTTTCTAATGAGCCATCTACAAAAAACTTTTCCCCTGTTGAAGTCCGTTAAACGCAAATGATGAACTTTCCTGACTCGATAAGGCCTGAATTTATTTTTCTTCAAAATTTTCCGTACAGACGTATTGGATATGGCCAAATTATGAGCAATCTCCCTCAGAGGTACTTTTTTGTTCTCAATTTTTTTATTTTCCATAA